AGCAACCCGCACCTTACCGTATTCGGGAGGGTCGGGTTGGTTGGTTGGTCAGAGTTGGGAGCTAAAAGAGATCTGTGACGTAGGAGAAGAAACGTGATCGCGAGACCAGGGCGCACCGTATAAAAGAGGAAGCGGCTGGCTACTCGGGGCTTCTTCTGTCGAGACGTAGTTGAGAAAGGTGTAAGTTGCGAGATACGGTTTACTATGCACTGTAATGCTTTTCTATTCGTTAGCGCACTGAGACTTTATGTATTGTATTAGAGATATAGATATAAAGCACTAGTGAACGTTACTTCTTGTCTTCTCTTATCTCTCTCTGTAGTCTATTACAGAATATCACATCGTAGCGCAAACACGCGTCTACATTTTGGTGCCGTGACCAGGATTCGAACCTGGGTTCTTAGGTTCTTAGGTTCTTAGGTTCTTAGGTTCTTAGGTTCTTAGGTTCTTAGGTTCTTAGGTTCTTATGTTCACAGTCCTCGGTTGCTAGATTCTATGTGTAGTGTGTAGTGTGTGTGTTTTGTGAGTATGAAATATACAGTGAAACGGCAGTTGTAACCAACATCAGTCTACTCTCATTTTATTATCGTATTTGTAAATTTAGTCAAGCAATTACACGGCGCACATAGCACGCAAGCTATAGCGCACAGTCGTCTGGCAGCAGAATTACCCAGCGACTACATTGGATGCCGTTGACCAGGACGACATTGGCTGCCGTCGATCAGGACTACATTGGGCCGTAGACAAGGATTCCACACAACGCGGGGTGCTACCGCTATACGCTTCACGGCCGTTTCACTGAACTGCACGAGGATGAGCCAACAATTTCTCGGACGAACAGGATTCGAAACACAACAAAAAGGAACTAACCACTATACGATGCACGAAGGTCAAGAGAAAACTGAGTAAGGACAACGCAAGAGGAGTAAGAAGATGAAGAAGAAGAAGAAGAAGAAGAAGGAGGAAGAAGAGCAGAGAAGATGAAGAAGAAGAAGGAGGAAGAAGAGCAGAGAAGATGAAGAAGAGAAGGAGAGAAGAAGATTGTGACATTCGTTATGCAGAGTTTCGCCATACGCGCACAATGTATGGAAAT